ACTGCATCCCCGCCTGACAGATTCAAAACACACTTTAGCGGGAGGCTCTGAATCCACAGTACCACTAAGTGACTTTTCTCAATATGTGTTTAAAAAACTAAAAACCTGTTACTTTGTAACCCCTACAGAAAAATAGAATAGAGGGTCATTTACAGTTAACATCAAGGACGAGTCTGTTCCAGAATACCAGTACGTCCAGAGCTTTGATTTTCTAACTCCAAAGAAGCATAATGGTGGGGGAAAATACATTTTAGCACATATAAATTTGCATACTTCAGTGCACTCCTTCAAAGCATTTTGTATGAGAAGTTACTGCTAATGTGTATAAAGATTCCTTTTTAGTTTTGAAAATGTTCTAAAATTAAATTGTGATGGACATCGAGTTATGTACTTTAAATTGGCCAGTTTTATGCTGTGTAAATTAAATCTCAATAAAGCTGTTAAAAAACACTGTAATCTTTATAAAGCCATGACACACATAGGTCAGTCCCTGCCAAAATAACCAATTCATTGCAAGCCAGTGGGGCCGTGGGTGAAGAATGAATTACTCGGTACACACTGTTGAAAAATAAAGCTTAATCCCTATCTTACACATTTCATCAGAAAAAGTCTGATGGTTCAAATTTTAAATGTGAACAAAGGAAACAATAAAGAAACGGAAAGAAAAGTGGGAGGATTCTCTTTGTTATCTTAAACTAAGGAAGGTCTTTTACACACAGTAAATTGAACCATAAAAATGTGCTTTTATGATAAAAAAAAAAATATTTTTTTAAATGTGGTGAAGGCCTGGGTGGAGGGTGGGAGCAGAGTGGAGGGGGTCAGTGGGGGAAAACTAGGGAGACACCCGTAATACTCTCAACAGTAAAGGTTGTTTTTTTAAAATACATGAACAAAATAAAAAGGCCAATTGGGAAAAGCTTTTCACTGCTCATGTCATAAACATCTGCAAAGAATATACGGATGTGGAGATATTCATTGCAGTGTATGGAGATATTTATTGCACGGTTACTAATAATAGTACAAGGATGAAAATATCTCACATATATATCAGCGCAAAACTGGTTAAATATAGCACAACCACATGATGGGTATTTTACAACCGCTAAAAAATATAATGAAGCAACTCAATGTACACTGATAAGAAAAGATCTCCAAACTATGTCTAGCAAGGTCTAGAAAGTTGCACGCAGTGTGCCAAGCGGGGAGGAGACCCACGAGGAACCAGCATCTGGGGTTGCCTCTGGAAGAGGAAGCTACGAGTCTGGGAGACAGAGAGGAAGAAGACATTGACCTTTCATTGCATTTGTTCAATGTATGCATGTTGGTGTTCTACTGATACAAAAATACGTATTTAAAATATTGTTAAGTGCTCTCGACTATGAAAAATTAAAACAACCCAAGTGTTTTCTCTGTATTTCTCATACTTTGCAAAAGGGACCCGTAGATTTCAGGAATATTTCTTTAAATCCTCTCTTTCCTCTTTCTCTTGTGATATTGTCATATTCCACTCTCTCTGGTTGTTTGCTGTGGTTTTGATGTGTTTTTATTGATTTTTTTTGAGAGAGAAAGGAAGGGAGAGAGAGATAGAAACATCCATGTGAGAGGAAAGCATCGATTGGCTGCCTCCTGCATGCCCCCTACAGGGGATCGAGCCTGCAACTCAGGCATGTGCCCTGACCGGCAATTGAACCAGGACCTCTCAGTCCATGGAATGACGCTCAATCCACTGAGCCACATTGTCCAGGCTGTCGTTGTTTTCCACAAAAGTCACATCTTCCATAAAAAATACCATCTCTTCTGTCCCCAGCCGGAGTTGAGGTTTGTGTCAAACACTGTCATAGTTGGTTGGAGACATCAATGACTGAAAGATTCTGCCCTCACATCAAGAACTTACATTCTAGCAGATAAAGATAAACAATATAAAAAAGAACAATAAAGATAAGAATAATCTATTGAGTTAGAGAGCACAACAGAGAATAGAAAAAATCAGCAGAATGAGGGAGGATCAGGAAGTGGGAGAAGGTGGATTTCAACATTCAGTAAGGTGGTAAGAGTGGGCTTCAGTGAGAGGCATTTCTGCAGAGTTGAAGATGAGAGAGTGAGACATGTAGACACCTGGGGAACAGAGTTCTAGACCGAGAAAAAGGACAGCGTGCAGACCCGAAGGCAGAGCATTCTGGTGTCTTTGAGCAACACCAAGAAATTCAGTGTGACTGGAGAAGAGAAAGCAGGAAGAATAATGGAAGATGAATTCCAGGATGAGGGAGGCTTGGTGCCAGCCAAGTAGGGCCTTGTAGACCATCTACCATGAGCTTTTTGACTTGTAAGTGGAGTAAAGAACCATTCCAGGGTGATGCCACTGTCATTTCCATTACAATCCACATGCCTTTGTCATCCTGAAGAATTGAATCCTGACACTCGACTGGCCACTCACAACCACGCCGTCATCACGCATCGGGCACCACAGTACATTGTCCCTCAATTCCAATGAGGACTGTTAATGAACAGTCATTTTGAGTGCCTTGCAAAACGTCTAACCGAGGGTGCTTCTGGCTTGTAGACTACTGCACAGAAAACATTCCAGTGCACCTGTCAGTGAGAGCAAACCATCTGTTCTAGGAATGCATTTGTTTCCATTGCTTTAATTTACTCCTTTGAGCACTGTGTTGCCTGACTGTTGGAAATATTAATACTCTTTCTTCCAAGTATATCTATAACTTCTGCTTTCTCCATCCGCCATAACCTAGACCCTCACCACACACTTCTTCATAGACTGATCCCTGACTTGTGTTTTTAGCCTTTTCATCAGTGTCTGCAATACTGATGCCAAAAGCAATTTCTTTCCAGATAATATCAAGTCCTTCTTAGAACCAGCTCTTGGCCTGAGCTACAGCAACCCATCCAATGTCTGATTGAAAGCCTTTCTATGACTATCTTGTATAAGCATCTTTCAAATCTCTTCTCAAAGCCTCCACTGGTCATTTTTTTTTTTTACAAGAAAGAAGAACGAGCAAAGTAATTATTGCATCTTGTTTTCACTGTGGCAGGGGTGTGGTTAGAAGGCTCTTTCTCTCTCCTTCATCTGCGGCCTGCCTGAAAGGGCTGTGTTTTTATCAGATCCACTAGGCTTTGCAGAAAGCACCTTAATCCCAGTCAGGCCATAGGAGCCGTGGTTTTGAGTTTGTGCTGTGTGACAAATCAAGCAGACGGAGCATGGCAAAAATGTTCTCCTTGACTCTGGGGTGGAGGGCCTGCCGGTCACATGGCGCTTTGGTCAAGGACACAGAGCCTATATTTGGATAAGTTGCTTCAGTTTTTCACTAATAAGATTTCTAGGAACCAGATCTGTTTCAAACCACATGTGCACACTGGTTTTCTCAGTTTGTCATTCCCGTGCTCTGGCAAATTTCTGGGTCTTATTCCAAGATGTTGCAATTTCCCCATGGGCACCATAAAAGTGGTACAGTGTGCCTGGTTCATTTGATGTGACTGTCAAAAACAACAAAGAAACTTTATCTGATTGCTTTTCCCACATTTCATAATTTTTTCCTTTGGCTAAGTATGTATCAGGCGTATATATCAAGCATTGTACAGATTTCCTATTAAAGAAGTCCAACTATCTAAAAACGACTTGTTCATGGATACCTTCTCCCATCCAAGACTCTGGTAACGCCAAGGACCATTTAGCGTAGATGATCCGATGTCCCAGCTACACTGCCCGCCCTTCAGCCTGTGTGCCAAATGCCATGGCCTTAAAGGGTCCAGCTGCTGGGCCCCCTGCAGGAAAACCCAGCCCTCTCGGATCGTACAGCACGGGGCACTAGGCAAGCTTTGATTCCACTCCGCTCTGTAACTGGGTCCCAGCGCTGACAACTTAATGAGACACTATGGCATTATATCCTGCAGACTTTAAATTGAAGTTTGAGACCCAGCCCCCAGGACATACAGAGTTAACACTACTCCAGTTAACACTAATTGGCATTACACATGATTATTTAGTGAAAATCATGGTTTTCCTGAAAATGCCACTTTCTTCCTCCTGCCATAAAAAGCCCAGAAATTCTATGAAACAGCCAGGGACGCACGCAAAGATTAGCTACAAGGATTCTAGTGTGGTGTTTACGTTGTCAGAAAACTGGGAACAAATGTCTATAGTGGGGGATTCTGGATGACAGAGACAGATCCAATCATTTTTTTAATGTGGTGAATACTTCTGGATGTGGGAAGACGCACCAATATATTGTGAAGTGGAGAAAGTTGAAGAGTGGCAGCAATGACATGAGGTCACTCTCTCTGTGGCAGAGAAAACAAGCCTGGACGGATATCGCTATCAAAATGCAAAAAGTAATTATCTTTGGGTGGTGAGAATAACATCCATGTTTATCTTATTCATTTTTATCTCTAATTTTTTTTTAATGCATTATTTGGCAAAAAGAAAACTTTGTTTAGCAAAATCCATCATTGATTCCTGCAGAAAATATTTAACAAATAGATTTATTTTGAAATTTTTAAAATCAATCCTTCAGCCCTGGTTGGTTTGCTCAGTGGTTAGAGCATTGGCCCGCAGACCAGAGCGCCCCAGGTTTGGTTTCTGCTCAGGGCACATATCTCTCCAACCCCGGTTGGGGTGGTGTGGGTGGCAACCAGTCGTTGTGTCTCTCTCACATCAATGTTTCTCTCTTTCTCTTCCTCCTTTTTTCCCTCCTGCTCTATCTGAAAATAAATGCAAAAATGTCCTTGAGTGAGGATTAAAAAAATAATTAAAAATAAAATAAAATCAATCCTTCATCTCCACCAACCCTGTGTGGGGCCCTGAGAACCCTCTATCTGTAATGTGTTGAATCATTTCCAATGGAATTACAAGGGTGAACAGTGGTTTTTCTTACATTCATGGAAATGTGAGCCCTGAAGTGACTTGTTACAAATGCCCATTTTCGGGTTCGGTTACACTAAAAGCCCACCTGAGGGGGTGCATTTATGCCCATGTGTTTTTCTTGCAGAGCCAAAGATGTTTGTCTTGCTGTATGTTACAAGCTTTGCCATTTGTGCCAGTGGACAACCTCGAGGCAACCAGTTCAGAGGAGAGAGCTACTCCCCGAGATACATCTGCAGCATCCCTGGCCTGCCTGGACCTCCAGGCCCCCCAGGAGCCAATGGCTCCCCTGGGCCCCACGGTCGGATCGGCCTTCCAGGACGAGATGGGAGAGACGGCAGGAAAGGAGAGAAAGGAGAAAAGGGGACGGCAGGTAATGAACCATGAGGTTCCGGAAAACCGCCTCCTTTCACACCCCCCCCCCCCAACTATTCCCTGTCTTTGTTGCTTTTTGTAATAGGAGTTACTCTTCCATCCTCCTCTACTTCGCCGCCTTACTCAGGATCGTTGGCTGTGCCTTGACTATGCTTCAGACGCTGCTGTAAGCTCTTCGCCTGCGTTCTCATCGTACCTGAGCGACAGCCTTGTCGGGGGCATCGCGTTCTGTCGATGAGAACTCTGAGCGATGCCGCCATCGAGTGTACTGACGAGGGAAGGGCTCTGCTGGTGCCTGGCAGAGCTGGATTCCAAAGCCAGGTGCCCGTGACCACGGGCGGTGACAGCCCCAGGCAATGGCCGCCCGTGAGAGAGCAGGATGGGTGGACAGACAGACGGAAGGAGGAGAGAGCAAGCAGAGGCAGAGTTAGGAGGCAAAAGCATGGCTGCCTCCTGCTCTCACGGATACCTGAGCAAAGACAATGAGGGCTCCTAGATTTCCTTTTTCAAAGAAGAAACAACAATAGGACTGTACAGCCTGCCTTGCCTAGTTCATCACTTTCCCAACTGCCCTGCAAAAGAGAGAAAAACAGATTTCTGACAGCTCTTTACAGCAACACAATGTGCCCTAGTCTTTCAGTAATTTTCACTTTTTTCCCCACAAATAAGTTGGCCCAGAAAGCTTGCCAGATTCCACAATTCTTCAGAGGAAAATGGATTAAAATTCTAGAGAGGCCGTGTTAACCCTAAAAGAGGAGGTGATTTGGAATGAATCTTTGCAAACAGGTTTCCGAGTGTAAAGTTGGGACAAAAGATAGACAGCAAATGTCAATAGATCTAAAAAACAAATCTAGTCATTACACCTCATTTGGTGCTGTTATATGAAACACTATAATGTAATATGCAAATTATTGGCTAGCAATTCATTTCTGAAGTTGTCATGCAGAAAATATTTGGCAAATCAGTAACTACCAAATGCATGCATATTATTCAATATTAGATAAAGAATCTTTAGGTACAAGTTCAACATCAGATAAAGAACCATGAATTTGGAGCTTAAATCTTACCTTTCAAATCCTTCTGCATAGCAGCACCTATGAACATAACTTACTGCAGTGTGATGCTCATGAATATACTTGAAATACTATAATAACACGAGGCTCATAGATATTACCAACCCTTTCAGTGTGCTGTGCCTGGAAGCAATAATACAGTGATTACACAAACGTGCGTTGAAGTCAGAAAGACTTAGGCTGACATCTTGGCTCCTTGAATTACTACTCAGCATCACTGGGCACATAGCCTCTTTGAGCCTCAGTTTCCTTATTTGTAAATAGGGGGCAGTGAAGATTAAAGACAACAGCAGATGTGAAACACGAAACAGAATAAGTGCCATGTGGAAAGCATTCATTAAACATGAGCTGCTATTACTTACGACATTGTGATCTGCAAATATGAGTCACAACTAACTTTGTGACTATTCAAAGCTACATAATAAATTAGAAATGGATGATCTGTTTTACGAGGTAGTTCTAGTGCTATTTAAAGACGTGTTTATGGATATGAGTTCAGATTAAATCAAATGTTCATTATTGCTGCAGTTTCAACCATGTATGAGGCCAGCTACCCCTCATTCATCAATCCATCTATTCGTTCACCCACTCATGCGTTATTCATTCCACAAGGTTTTGCGCACCTATTGCTTCCCAGGATTGCTCTAGACCAGTGTTTCACCACCTCCACATGAATGACATTTGGGGCTGAGTAATCCTTTACTGTGGGATGACGATCCTGTGCACTGTCGGGCATTCAGCAGTGACCCACTACATATCAGTAATGCCCTCACAAAGTGTGATCACCAAAAACATCTCCAGACGGTGCCAACTCTCCCTCAGTGGGCAACGCAAAATTGCTCCTGGTTGAGAACATGGCTCTAGACACTGAGAACACCCCCTGAGTAAGATGCTGCCTTTGTCTTAATAAGCAAACGTTTGGGTGTGGGCAGCCAATACAGAAAAACACAATCGCAATGCAGGGTGGGGCAAAAGTAGGTTTACAGTTGTTTGTATGGAAAGTGATGCAATAATTAATCAATAACAATACTGTTTCACATACTGATAATGGTAAACCTACTTTTGCCCCACCTTGTATGTCTTCATCATCACCATCATCACCATCATCACCATCACCATCATCACCGTCACCATCATCACCATAACCATTTATTCAGAACTTACTACACCCACGTGTCAGAAACTTTACATTTAATACTGTCCATCATAACCTAACTAGCAATGATTATAATCAGCAATAATACTAATAATAATGTTACAAGTGAAAAAATGGAGATTTAAAAATAAAATGACTTTCCCAACCTGAGATTACTTAAGTCCAATATGTGCATATACATTCATAAGGTTGTATGACAGCTAAGAAAGGAAAAGGTGTTCCTTGGTGATCGATAGAGAAGCACACTCACTTGCAAACAGGAGGAGCAGAGCCCTGGGCTTTGGGGACATGCCTCCGGTATGGCCGGAGCAGGACACAGCACAGGTGGGAGCCTCTTCCCTTCCCACTCGGGACACCCAAAGGCCCTCCCATCCGTATGTCCGTGGTGAGCATCCCCACCACACTTACCCCAACCAAGGGCAGGGAGAATCCAGTATAATTTTTGTCCAATTTCCCTCTCCTAAATTACAAGTACAGAGCTTATTATACTGAATTACACATTTTCTGTTCAAATATTTGTCTCCTTCACTGGTCTATAGTGATGACTATTGTATCATATTATTAACATTTAACTTAATCTGAAGGCACAGTCACATAATATCTTCAAATAACACTAGAAGCCCCTCAAGAAATAGATAATTCTGGTTTATTGTGTGGTTTGGGATATTTATGAGCTTAGCTAGGACTCATATTTGCAGATCACAATATAATACGCAGTACTAGCTAACGTAGAGGTGGATCGGGTGTGAATCGTGTCAAGGTCTCACTCAGACCCCAGTAGAGTGCCAGCTTGTAGTGAGTGGTCTATCGACATTAGATGGTCTGGGTGCATGCATGCATTCATAAATCCATGGATGGATGGATGGGTGGCTCAGAGGATGGATGGAAGAAAGGAATGGCACTGGACAAAAAAAAATCTTTGTAAACCCATATCATGGAGAGTTAAGAAGAAATCCTTTTTCTCCAAGCTTCAGTACTTAAGCATAGATACTTTCTCCATAATTCTCCTCTCTATACAATCATAGATCTGACTGAGTAGGGAGAGAGAGAATGATCTATCCCTTCTTTCTATTCTTTATTCATTGGTCCTTAGCACAGGGAAAAATCTGAGATGCAAACCGGAAGAATTACTGTGAATTAGTACAGCTAGTCTCTGATTATCTAACGGCCAGCAGCTCAGAACAGAAAATAACTATAGAAAATCCAAACATTGAAATTGTGATGGCCTTTTCACTGTAAAACTGCATCTTGGTATTTATGGTTTTATCTCAAAGAATTTTCAATAGGATGAGACCTCAAAATCTAGTCCAACACCTTCATTTCAAGGTCTGGGAAACTGGAGTCAGAGAGGGGAAACCCTTTGTCAAATTCACCTAATTCATGGCTGAACTAGAGTTTTATCCCTAGTCTGCGGAGCCCCTGTTTACTGCTTTTCTCACCCAGTTTGGAATGGATTTGGACCTAATTTCTTTATAGTACAAATGGACCACTTGGAACTCAGACAAGAATTGACTTACCCAGAATCATAGAGGCAAAAGGATTTGGGCACATAATGAAATTTAATGGTCAAATTGTTACTGATGACAAAATGTGTTTTTTTTTAATTAATGTATCAAAAGTCACTGATGAAGACAGCAAAAGTTAAGCCCCTATTGAAGATAAAATAACAATTTAGAAGTTGTTGTCTTTGATTCAAAAGCGAATTTATTAACAAAATAATATTTATATTATACTTCTACCAAAAAAAAAAATGAAAGTAATCATCGAGAGGTCAGACTATTACAACCTTATTTGAAGAAATATTACCAGATTGTGTTCTGGCTGGAGTCAGTGCAATTTTAATTTAAGAACCAATGTTGCGCCCTGGCTGGTGGGGTTCAGTTTGCTGGAGCATCTTTCCAAACACAGAAAGGATAAGGGTTAGATTTCCAGTTGGGGACACGCCCAGGCTGTGGGTTTGATCTCTGGTTGGGGTGCATATGAGAGGCAAACGATTGATGTTTATCTCCCACATCAATGTTTCTTTCTCTCTCCTTCCCTTTCTCTCTAAAATCCATAAACTATATCCTTGAGTGAGAATTAAAAACAAAAAAAGAACAAATGTCATGTGCAGCTACGGAACAGTTCTATGATCAGTAATAATGCTGATCTTAGGCCCCCCAAAATGCATTCATTATTAGCATCTTTTATGCACCATAAATTGTCAAACAGCATCTTTCCAAAATTATAGAAACAAAATGTTTGATGTTTTAAGAGTAAAGCTTTAACTCTTTTTTAACTTACATTATCCAGAACACTTTTTTGCTAAATTTGCCAAATAAATGAAAAATGATTGAACTCAAACACCAATGCATTTGTAATATATTCTAGTAAATGATATCAAAGCATTATCAAGATAAAAAGGCTAAGCTTAAGAGAAGTTTCTGAGACTGAACTACACAATATATCAATATATTTTCCCTGCCCTGGACGGTTTGGCTCAGCGGTTAGAGCGTCAGCCTGAGGTCCAGAGAGACCCGGGTTCGGTTCCCGCTAAGGGCATGTACCTCGGCTGCAGTTTGTCCCCGGCCCTGGTTGGGTCATGCAGGTGGCAGCCACTTGATGTGTCTCTTTCACGTGGATGTTTCTCTCTCTTTCTCTTCCTCTCTCTCCCTGCCACTCTATCTGAACAAAAAATGAAAAAATGTCCTCAGCTGAGGATAAAAATATATATATATATTTTTTTTCCCCTGACTACAAAAGTACACTACAAATTACCAATAATTTGGACATTTTTGAGAAAATAACATTACACAGACACTATTTATAGACTAAATTTGGCCATAAAATTGAATGACCTTCTTTATGCTATTAAGTCATTGTTATTACACAGATGATTTAAAAATTAAATAGACATTGCTTACCACTTTCAAGCCATGATCACTATTTCTCTGCATTTAGCCTATAGTTGATCTGCAGACATAAAAACGGGACATACAGAAAATATTTCACTATGGTGATTTTGAATTTGTTGGAATCTTTTCACAACTACTCTGTCTTTTCTTCTTTTTTTTTTTTTTTTCCTCACCCGAGGATATTTTTCCATCTTTTGTACAGATAGAGAGGGAGGGAGAGAGAGAGAGAGAGAAACATCGACATGAAGGGACACATCGAGTGGCTGCCACCCACACGACCAACCAGGGCCGGGGACAAACTGCAACCGAAGTACGTGCCCTTAGCGGGAACCGAACCCGGGTCTCTCCGGACCGGAGGCCGACGCTCTAACTGCTGAGCCAAACTGGCCAGGGCCTCTGTCTTTTCTATATGTAAGGAGACCCAGAGAAATTAAGGGTCTTGCCTAAAACGACACAACCCTTAGCTCCAGACAGAATTGAGGATTCTTGATTCCAGCCCCAGTGGTAAGAGGCATTTGGATGAGGGGGGAAGCATCATTAGGCTGAGACTTGGATTCTCGTCCTGGCCTTACTTCACCTCTCCGGGGCTGTTTTCTCCTCCAAAAGACTAACTGCACGGCGGTGGCAGTCACTGTTGCTGGGTTGTTGTAGTGCATGGGGCCCTCACTGTGTTCCAAACGCCCTTTACAATGGACACTCTACTGCTGCCTGGAAATGCTCAGGCTCCAGAGTCAGGAAGGCAGCTCTGTCATTCACTTGCTCTGTCTCCTTGAGCAAACGAGCTTCTCCATGGCTCAGTTTCTTCATCTACAATGGAAGTAGTAACAATTCCCAGTTCATAAAATTATTGCAAAACTTACAGAAGATAATGCATGCCAATAAGATGCTGAATAAAGCTAATCTCATTTGATTAATGCTTTTATTATTAATACTAATGATAGAATGGGACACAAGACTGAACAGCCTCTAAGGATCTGCCTGGTTCTGTCTGCCCCCATGACCCCACTTTGGGGAATAATATCAACATTGTTCACCTTAAATTCCTTCTGCAGTAATGAGTACCTGTATATTACTGATTTAGTGACAGGTGATCCATCATCAGAATGCTAGTTAATTATTTTAAATTAGTCAGGATTAAATGATTTCTCACATACTCAGGAAAATGCACTTTAAATTCTGATGAAAATATTCTATTTCCATTTTAGTGTGTCTGTGATTGTTTTTTAAAGATTCACTGTTTAGCAGTCTACAGTTGAAAGTTGTCCGAAAAGACAAAATGTAGGGTGTTCTGGACTATGTGGACATGCTGTTGGTCACGCTATATTTATAGGGACTATTAATTAAACTGCAAACTCTTTTTAAAGGTTTGAGAGGTAAGACTGGACCACTGGGCCTTGCTGGAGAGAAAGGGGACCAAGGAGAAACTGGGAAGAAAGGACCCATGGGACCCGAGGGAGAGAAAGGAGAAGTAGGTCCAGCTGGGCCTCCTGGACCAAAGGGAGACAGAGGAGAGCAAGGGGACCCGGGGCTGCCTGGAGCTTGTAGATGTGGGAGCATCATGCTCAAGTCTGCCTTCTCTGTCGGCATCACCACCAGCTACCCAGAAGAGAGGCTGCCGATTGTATTTAACAAGGTCCTCTTCAATGAGGGAGAGCACTATAACCCTGCAACGGGGAAGTTCATCTGCGCTTTCCCCGGGATCTATTACTTTTCTTACGATATCACATTGGCAAATAAGCACCTGGCCATCGGGCTGGTACACAACGGGCAGTACCGGATAAAGACCTTCGATGCCAACACAGGGAACCACGACGTGGCTTCCGGGTCCACGGTCATCTATCTGCAGCCAGAAGATGAAGTCTGGCTGGAGATCTTCTTCACCGACCAGAACGGCCTCTTCTCAGACCCAGGTTGGGCAGACAGCTTGTTCTCCGGGTTTCTCCTGTACGTTGACACAGATTATCTAGATTCCATATCAGAAGACGACGAGCTGTGATCAGGACTGCTGACCAGCATGCTCCAAAATCCTTCCGGAAGACGCTTTGATTTAATCTGGGGTCCAGAAATGAGATCCAAAGACACTCCCACTCAGATTCCTGAGTATTTACAGACAGTGCTAGCTACATCTGTTAAAACAAGATGAACCACCAAACTGTTGAAACCACACCAAAATGAATTATATGAAACAATAACCCCAGATATGAATTCTCTTGAAAGCAGTGTTCATAAATATTTAAACAAATTCAAGACAATGTTAACAATTTTTTATTACATTCCCTGAGTGATAAAACCAGCTGACGATGATATTGTCTCATTAAATCTTTATAAAATTAGATTTTTGCCTGTTATTTAAAAGAATCATCACATCCCAGACAAATCTTTGATAATTCGCAAAAGGCTGTAGTTAGTCAGACACCAAAGGTAAGTGATGCTGAGTTAAATTTCAAGCAAGTCAAAGGGAAGTCTGATTTTCTTTTTCATAATTTCTTCCTTCATGTTTGCACATGAAGCACATCATTTATTCTTGTTTTACTATGTTTTTGTTGATTATCGTACTTGAAAGTGGATACAACTATAAACCTGCTTTTGCCCCATCCTGTATATCTACTCAACAACTCTGTAAGCCTGTATAAGCCACATACTATGATGCTGGGTCAGACTTCATACTGAGTTCAGACCCAGTCCCCACCTTCATACAAGCTAGTGTGTGATGAGTATACTGTCACTCTTCAGTGTGATGAGCACCACGACAAACACACTGGCTCGATGGGGACCAGAAAACATGGCAACATGTTATGTGTGCCAAGGTGTGTGTCTTTAAGCAGATGGGAGGAACGCAGAGAAAACGAGGGATTTAGCGGTGGCGTTCTCCCCATCCCATCCTCAAAACACCATTGACATCTGCACTCAAGAAGGGGTGGAACAGCCTGGAGAGAGGGGTGCCTGGGAGGGGCAGTGGCAATAAAGAGAAGCAAGTTACCGAGCCCTGCAGTAGGTCATTCTCCTAAATCCGTCAGCTTAATATCTTCCCAAGGCAAATATTTGTCCTCTTAGCTCTCACGAATAAGGAAATTATTTTACACTGTGGTAAAGACCTTGTGTCTCGTGGGTTTTCAAGGTGCTGAATTCAGATAAAGCAAAGCATATGTCCGCTGATTTATGAGTGAGCCGATGGGCGGAGGGAGCCAGAGGAAGAGGGAGAGACACCAGACGTCTGAGCAAATAGCTGTCCCTTCCAAGTCTCACACCTCTCTAGTCCCACACTCTCAGTGTCAGCCCTTTGCTCCCCACAACTGCAGCCCCTCCGCTGATCTCACCCATAACTCTGTCATCCGCCTCTCCCTTGGTTGATAGAAGTAGTGCTCCCTTCTTCTCTCCCTTTTTGTGCCTTCTGACCCTTCTTCCATGCATTCTTCTCTCTCTCTGATCATTTAATAAAATGTTGAAAGCTTCCTATGTGTAAACCAGCATGGTGGGTTCTTTGAAGGTGAAGGAATGTCAAGGTGGATATAGCACAGCCCCATGCCATCAACTTTGAAAGGAGACCAGCAAGAAATTGGCGTGCACACACACACAAAATACCTAGAATTCTGAAATCAAACATGCTAAATACGCTAAGTGCTACATTGGAGATGGAGACAAAATGCCATGGAAGGAACTGGCTCAGGGTGGGGGGAGGGGAGAATATTTACTCCCAAATTAGGAGGTGAGAGAGGAGACCTAGGGAATTCTCTGTTCCCTGGGCCTGAAGGATGAATGGGACTTGGAGTGGCCGAATTGAGGGAGAGAGCACTTTAGACAGAGGTGGTAATGGACAAATCATGAGAGTGAGAACCCAGACAAGGAAGCCATGGCCATGTTTGCAAGGGTTGGGGACTTCATTCATGAGCAAGTGTGGAGCCACTGTGTGTTCCAGAGCTGGGTGCTGCCATCATCAAAGGTGAAATTCATAATCATCCAGCAGCTGGGTGTAAGGGTAATGCTTGCTTCTCCCGTCTTCCAGACCTACCTTGCTTCCATCATCTTCTTCTGCCTCCTATCCTTTGTCCCCTGGTTCCTCTTTCTGAGTCAAGACACGGGTCTGACAGACCAAGGGCAATAACCCTTCGACAAAGAAGACAGCAGAGGTGGTTTGAGATCATCACCTGCCTCTAGATCATACCTGAACCTGGAATTCCAGGCTATAAAATGTAAAAAAAAGCCAACAGAAGAAGCTAATCTGGGGAACATGAAAACACAGGCCCTTTGAAGACCATGGAATTTGCTGGAGAAACTGGAAATGGAGAAGTTATTGTTAATAGTCATGACCACACGATTAGTATGTAATTTAAATTTTTTTAAATCATGATCCATTAATGTGTTCATTTGGGGACATTATTTACTTGCTTATCTTTTAAATATTTTTTATTATAAAGCTTATTTTGAGTAGCTTTTTAAATTAAAATTTTTTTCGCTGGTTCTAGGCCCAGAGATAAATGCAATTTTGAAATATCTGGTGAGATGGTGATGCGGGGGATCAGAGAGCTAATGTTGAGAATAAAAGGCTATTTTAGTATTAAAATGATAAACTTTTAAGCAAATTCAGGTGTCTTTTACTCCTTAAAAAAATGACAAATAAAATGTATCCACACTTACGGATATTTGTGGAAAGAAAGTAGAAGAGCAATTTTGGTTTAAAACATTCCAAGTCTCATCCAGGCGTTCTTTGTGAGGGCTGACTTGGAATGAATATGCATTAAGAAATATGTATTAACTAGATACCATCTCATTCCAGAATGATCTGAAGCCACTTACAAAGGTAGACAAAAGACAGAAAGAACACAGTAGTCAGAGCAGGTGAGAGTAAAAGAGCAAACCAAACAAAAAAAGGAAAGAATGAGGCTAATACAAAACAGTGTGTACATGAACACGTGTACCTGCATTCATAGGACATGTGTGTTTTCTTGTACATATCCAGGTCATTTGTCATTGTGAATAATGTTGTTCATGGTGAAAAAAATTCCATAAACTCCAAGTATACTTTTCCTCTGCCACTCTGAAAATGATCGTGGACATAAATTCATTTTAGATGGCAGCTATTTATTGTTTTATACCTCCCTCTCTCACCTCCTGTGGCTCCACTTTCCGTAAACAGCATCCCTGCCCACACTGTCCCCAAAGCCAAAACCTAAAGCACATTCTGGAAGTCTTCCTTCCCCTCCCCACTGAACTCATTCAGCATAAAATTCTTATGGTTCTAGAGCCTACATGTGCATTTCTGAGTCATCGCACCTTTCTATTTCCAATCCCAAGGTTGCATTCGTGAGCTCGTTATCATGTCCCTGGACTAGTGAAAGACATTTTAGCCGACCCTTTGCCTTCAGCCACAGTCCTCCAATCACACTCCACATTAGGTTGACTCTGTCCTTCTAAAATATTAATCTGGTCACGTCACTGCATGGCTAAGAAGCCAGTGGTGGTCCTTCAATGCCTTCCCTATGGAAGGTGTCTCGAACTTCTTTGAGTTCTCTATCTGACATACACGCCATATCTTTCCCTGGCCGTCATACCCACTCCTTCCCATGCTCAGCCTCTGAGCTTCCACGTGGACTTGACTCCTGCAGTACGTAGTTCTCCGGCCTGACCTGAGCAGAGCATGCCACTCACCAAAATAACTGGTTCCGGTGAGACTTTGCTGGGCCTTTTATAGAAGAGAATCTTATTCTTTTCACTGCACTTGGGCCTGTGATCCTCTAGCCATCCTACCATCTCAATGCACAGTATCACTTGAGAATGGAGCCATGGAGACGGGTCAACCAAAGACACAGAGATAAAGGGGGGGCGGGGGAGGAATAGGTCTTGGAGTCATCATTTGAACCCTGATCTAGACCTGTTTGTAGCCATCTCTGTTTGGACTTTTCAGTTATGATAGCCATTAAATGGCATTTGCTCTTAAAGCTTTGTTTGAGGTGAGTATTCGGTCACTTGCAAAAGATGTGATCCTACCGAATGTTAACACAAGCACCCTTTAGCAAAACACACTAGACTTCTTGGGATCTAACTTCTGCCTAATTTTGTAGTCACATTTCCAAAAGTCACCCAGTGCAACCTATAATCCAAGCAAAGGCAGATGACTGCAGTTCCTGGATACCCTGCTCTGCATGCCGCACACCCGTCACACGCGCTGTTTCGTGGGCTTGTAATGCCATCGCTGTCCTTGTCTGCCTGGCTAGTTCATCTTCTAAGGATCAGCTTAAAAATTACTCCCTTTTCTCTTACCCTGTGCCCAACAGGAATCACAGTTGATCTTGTGCGTCTTCCTCACCATCTGGGATCTAGTGCACAGTTACGGTAGCAATAACGAACACTTACAGCGTGCTATTTCAGGTGTTTTACATGAATGCAGTAGCTCACTTTGGTCTTCTCATTATTCTCTCCATTTTACAGATGAGGAACCTGAGAGACAGAGAGGATAAGAAATGTATTAAGTAAAGAGTAAGTGGCACAGTAGACCCAGGCATTTTGGCTCCACAGTCCATGTTCCTGACCGTCGTTCTTGGTCCTTTATACTCCAGGACTGTATGCAATGCCTGCCATAATGTTTGCTCAATGAAATTGTGATGACTTCATCAGTGACAAAGTCTTTTCAGTCACATCTCAACCCGGCTCAAGAAAGAGCCGAAATGCACTCACTGAAACAACATAGAGCCCGAGAGCATGGTCCTCAGCCTTCCTGAGGCCGCGGCCCTTCAGTACAGCCCCTCATGCTGTGGGGACCCCCAACCATAAAATCGTTTTTGTTGCTACTTCATAACTGTAATTTTGCTACTGTTATGTCTTAGGCGACCCCTGTGAAAGGGTCATTCGACCCCCAAAGGGGTCGCGACCCACAGGTTGAGAAGCACTGCTCCAGAGCAGCTCTGGTACTCATCCCTTGTCCCTCGGACTTGATCCCCAGCTCACGAATCAGCTCTTCCCCATGCAGACTTCACTTTCGGGCAGCTCTTCATGGCAAATGGAGCTACCAGGAGATTGACACACACATATATCTTTCTCCTTCTCAACAGTCCCGGCAAAAGATATGGGGAGGACAGCCTTTTGGTTCTAGTTGGTCCACTTAAGTCATCCCTCCATCAAGACTGGCCAAAGGGATGCTCTGTTCCCATTGGCCACACTTACGTCGCATGTCCACCCCTAGACCTAGAAACAGAATCAGTCCTCCAAATCACATGGGCTGAGGGAGAGGAAGAGGTTGTTCCCCAAAGAAAAATGAAGGTGCCAGGTCTCCAAAACAGAGAATTTGGTTAATGGACAGTCAGAAACAACAGGTGATTTCTCTGTAGG